CTTTCCCTAGAAATAAATATGCTTCTGACACATAATTCTTAAAGCCTTACGTAGGCTATTGGTCAACACTTCCTCATCTGTAAAATAAATACAAAACAGTACCTGCATCAAAGACTGTTGTTGTTTTATTAAACAAGTTAATATATGTAGAGAACTTAGAACACTACCTGGCTAACAGAAAGTACTGTTAGCTATTATTTCTACCAAGCTGTATTTTTGATATTGATTTGATATCCCGGGCTCTTTCTGACATCTTAGTATTATTATAACGGGATTAACACCTTGGGCTATGGAAGGTGGGAGAATGTGCACTCTGTACACGTAGGTAGACCTTTAAATTGATGTTACCTTTTCTGTCAGGCAATTTAGCAATGGGTACCAAAAGCCTTAAGAACACGTATGCTGTTCAAGCTCTTGATATTTTCCCAGGAAATAATCATAAAACTGTAACTAGATGTGTACTAGTGAAAAACTATAAGCATCCTTCACGAACCAAGAGTGGTCTGTTACTTAAATTAGACCTACCTGTATATATATGGAAGTCATTTTTACTTTCTTCTGTGCATTTTTGAGACTGCTTAGTATCTTTTTACATTAAATACAAATGATCTTTACAAACTAAAAAAAAAAATTTTAATAAATAAAATAACCTCCATCATGACAGCTGAAAAATGCCTCACCCCTAAGGACAAAAGAGGACACCAAAAATGTTTGTGAATCAATATTCTATTAAAAAAAGAAAAAAATACTCCATGTTTCTAGAGACCACAGTTAAGATTATTTTTTAACATCCCTTCCTTAAATTTTGTATAATGGTACTTCTATTGTAGTCATTAAAGTAGAAATAACCTTAAGACATACTGCAAATAACTCCTGCTGGCCTGTTTTCTTAAATGACTTTTCAAGATGAAACAATTAATGACAGAGTTTGTACACAAGTCTCTTTATTCTAATTCAAACACAAGTTATTGCTTAAGGGTAAGAGAAAATTAACCTCTTTGCTTCCTACAGAGTGAGTAAGTATCTTTCACTTAAACCTGATTTTCTACTTTCTAAAAATAAACAAGTTTCTGATTCATTTTCTTTCATACCTATTTGATGAATACTAATAAGCATTTTCTGTTGCTTTATTCTATTAACAAATGTAGAGACTCATAATTCAGTAATCTGCACATTAATGTTTTATGAGTTTTTCTGCATGTGTACATTTCACAATAAAAATATCTAAGTAATTCCAAAACAAAATGAAAAATCAAATGTCGAATGAGTTTTCCATTTTTAGATTGTTTAATACACTATACTCCACACCATGACTAATGAAGTTATTCACTAGTATTACTTTAATAAAACTCAGTAACAATACTCAGGAAAAAAATTTCCTATACTCACTTTCAATGTCATAATTAAAAGATGGAAAAAATTTTTTCTTTACTTATGACACAGGGAAAAATGTATATATTAGAAACAGACATCTTTAAATTCAGTGATTCTTAGCTTCTTTTTCTAGGTCAAGAATGCTTTTTTACAAAGCCGATTTTTTCAAAAGAAAGAACTATATTTCTTCTCCCCCCCAGAAAAATGCAAATCACACAAAATTCTACAATAAATTTAGAGTTAGTCTCTCTCAGCCCACCCATCTAACACTCCACCTCCTATGTGACATGACTGTAGATAAATGTCTCATCAACTGAAAAGACAAAGTAAAATGGCATTTCCATGAATAACAAGACCCCAGAGAAAGGGCATTCCCAAGCTGATTATAGCAACTAATCCCATATCAAGGATCTGACAAAGAGAGTGGCAATCTGCAAGTGTTAATATGAGCACAGAAAAATGTCTGAAGGGAATTCCCTGGCGGTCCAGCGGTTAGGACTCAGAACTTTCACTGCCGGGGGCCCAGGGTTCGATCCCTGGTTGGTGCAGTAAGATCCCGCAAGCCATGCGTCAAGGCCAAAAAAAAAAAAAAATTCTGAAAACATGTACCAAGCAGTATAACAGTAAGTACTCTTGTGAGTGGGAAAAGGACAGGGGGCTTATAGGTATTACTTAATTCAAGCTTTAGAGGCTTTCATCCCCCAACCGTGATTTACTTTTCCAATTATTTTAAGCGTAGGAACGGCCAAATAGGAACAAGAAAATATCAAAAACATTGCTTCCCTCTACATTAGAAATCAAAGCACATATTTTTGTTTGTTAAATGGAGTGGTGGACTCCTGGTTCCACCACCATATCCTACAGAATGGGAAATACAAATTCCTGCAGTGTATTTGTTTTAACAAAATTCCAAGGCAACTATATAAACGAGGAATTCCATCTGGCTTCCCCACTTAGTGAGCTTTCACAGGAAAGCATTTCTACATAAAACAATCACAAAACCACAACCTCAGATAAACATGTTTTAAGAGTGTCACCCTTTAGCAACTGATTTTAATTTAGTGTTGATACGTTTGTTTAAATCAGAAGCTGATGAGTATTTAAACTGCGACTTCACTCCCACTTACTCTGAATCAGCCGTGACACTACTTAAGGCGCAATCTAACAGGCCAACCCTGCCACGCGTCCTCGGGTCCCAGCACTCCACTCGGCCCTAAACAAATAAAACACAGTCATTTTAAATACTAGAACATTTTTAGACAAATACCCAAAAAAAAAGCCTCATTAACAGTGATTATCTCGTGGGGAATAAGAATTTAACCTTTTCTATATGCAGAAAATTATAAGACATTGATGAAAGAAATTAAAGATGATACAAATAGATGGAGAGATATACCATGTTCTTGGACTGGAAGAATCAACATTGTGAAAATGACTCTACTACCCAAAGCAATCTACAGATTCAATGCAATCCCTATCAAACTACCACTGGCATTTTTCACAGAACTAGAACAAAAAATTTCACAATTTATATGGAAACACCAAAGACCACGAATAGCCAAAGCAATCTTGAGAATGAAAAATGGAGCTGGAGAAATCAGGCTCCCTGACTTCAGACTATACCACAAAGCTACAGTAATCAAGACAGTATGGTACTGGCACAAAAACAAATATAGATCAATGGAACAGGACAGAAAGCCCAGAGATAAACCCACACACATATGGTCACCTTATCTTTGATAAAGGAGGCAGGAATGTACAGTGGAGAAAGGACAGCCTCTTCAATAAGTGGTGCTGGGAAAACTGGACAGGTACATGTAAAAGTATGAGTATGTAAAAGTATGAGATCACTCCCTAACACCATACATAAAAATAAGCTCAAAATGGATTAAAGACCTAAATGTAAGGCCAGAAACTATCAAACTCTTCGAGGAAAACATAGGCAGAACACTCTATGACATAAATCACAGCAAGATCCTTTTTGACCCACCTCCTAGAGAAATGGAAATAAAAACAAAAATAAACAAATGGGACCTAATGAAACTGCAAAGCTTTTGCACAGCCAAGGAAACCATAAACAAGACCAAAAGACAACCCTCAGAATGGGAGACAATATTTGCAAATGAAGCAACTGACAAAGGATTAATCTCCAAAATTTGTAAGCAGCTCATGCAGCTCAATAACAAAAAAACAAACAACCCAATCCAAAAATGGGCAGATCTAAATAGACATTTCTCAAAAGAAGATATACAGACTGCCAACAAACGCATGAAGGAATGCTCAACATCATTAATCATTAGGGAAATGCAAATCAAAACTACCATGAGATATCATCTCACACCAGTCAGAAGGGCAATCATCAAAAAATCCAGAAACAATAAATGCTGGAGAGGGTGTGGAGAAAAGGGAACACTCTTGCACTCCTGGTGGGAATGTGAATTGGTACAGCCACTATGGAGAACAGTATGGAGGTTCCTTAAAAAACTACAAATAGAACTACCATATAACCCAGCAATCCCACTACTGGGCATATACCCTGAGAAAACCACAATTCAAAAAGAGTCATGTACCACAATGTTCACCACAGCTCTATTTACAATAGCCAGGAGATGGAAACAACCTAAGTGTCCACCATCGGATGAATGGATAAAGAAGATATGGCACATATATACAATGGAATATTACTCAGCCATAAAAAGAAACAAAATTGAGCTATTTGTAATGAGGTGGATGGACCTAGAATCTATCATACAGAGTGAAGTAAGTCAGAAAGAGAAAGACAAATACCATATGCTAACATATATATATGGAATTTAAGGGAAAAAAATGTCATGAAGAACTGAGGGGTAAGACAGGAATAAAGACACAGACCTACTAGAGAATGGACTTGAGGATATGGGGAGGGGGAAGGGTAAGCTGGGACAAAGTGAGAGAGTGACATGGACACATATACACTACCAAACGTAAAATAGATAGTTAGTGGGAAGCAGCCGCATAGCACAGGGAGATCAGTTCAGTGCTTTGTGACCACCTAGAGGGGTGGGATAGGGAGGGTGGGAGGGAGGTAGATGCAAGAAGGAAGAGATATGGGAACATATGTATATGTATAACTGATTCACTTTGTTATAAAGCAGAAACTAACACACCACTGTAAAGCAATTATACTCCAATAAAGATGTTTAAAAAAAAAGAATTTAACTTTTTCTAACTTTTTACCTATACCCTTTTTAGTACTGTTAAATGTTTTATCATTAGCTGCATTTCTTTTATAATTTAAAAGAAGCAAAGAAGGATGGTTAAGAAAAACAAGTGCAAAATGTGATGCATGATCCTTGAATGGACCTTGATTTGGTTGGTGTGGTAGCAGGGAGAGGAGTTATGAAAGACATTGTGGTATAACTGGGAAAATATAAATTTGTAAATATTATTGTATCAATGATGTTTAATATATGTACTACAATAACTATCACAGAAGAAATCAAAATCCAACATATAATGTAAAAATTAGGACTTCCCTGTTGGCGCAGTGATTAAGAATCCACCTGCCAATGCAGGGCACACGAGTTCAAGCCCTGGTCCGGAAAGATCACACATGCTGCGGAGCAACTAAGCCTGTGCGCCACAACTCCTGAGCCTGCACTCTAGAGCCCGCGAGCCACAACTACTGAACCCACATGCCTCAACTACTGAAGCCCAAGCGCCTAGAGCCTGTGCTCCACAACAAAGAGAAGCCACTGCAATAAGAAGCCTGCTCGCCGCAATGAAGAGTAGCCCCCGCTAGTTGCAGAGAAAGCCCGCATGCAGCAACAAAGAGTCAATGCAGCCAAAAATACATAAAGAAATAAATTTATTTTTTTAAAAATTAATGTAAAATGAATTTTAAAGTCTGGTCTAACTATGCATATCAAATTTCAAGCCCCCAGTAATCAAGGTACCCAAGGAATTTCAGGAACCCAGCCTTTGGTCTGGGGGGTTCTGCTCTCCCTTCAACAAGTCTCAGGGCTGGTCTTAAAACAGCTGGTGAGGGCTTCCCTGGTGGCACAGTGGTTGAGAGTCCGCCTGCCAAAGCAGGGGACACGGGTTCGTGCCCCGGTCCGTGAAGATCCCACATGCCGCGGAGCGGCTGGGCCCATGAGCCATGGCCGCTGAGCCTGCGCATCCGGAGCCTGTGCTCCGCAACGGGAGAGGCCACAACAGTGAGAGGCCCCAACGGTGAGAGGCCCGCGTACCGCAAAAAACAAAAACAAAAAACAGCTGGTGAAAGAGCAGCCTGCTCTAATACATAACTTCTCTTACAGAGCAGCTTCCTGATTTCTAGCCTAACTTGCTCTGCAAGGACTCTGTTCAAATAAACAATTTTTTCAAGAAAATTATTTTAAAACTTCCCCTTGGTAATCTCAAGAAAAGTAATTAGCAAGATAATGCTTCACTGGCCTGACTTAGGCTTAATAGTATTATAACACTGTCAACATAGTTTTATATGTTTCCATTAAATCAACCTGTGTTCCATTTCAAATTTTAATCTTTCAACATAAAAATAATTTGAGCAAAGAAACATGAATTTCATCCAGATGGATTGGTTTAATAAACTACAGTACATTCAAACAATGGAATCCTATCCATCAGTTTAAAAAAATTACTTTAGGGGCTTCCCTGGTGGCGCAGTGGTTAAGAATCCACCTGCCAACGCAGGAGACACGGGTTCGAGCCCTGGTCCGGGAAGATCCCACATGCAGCGGAGCAACCAAGCCCGTGCGCCACAACTACTGAGCCTGCGCTCTAGAGCCCATGAGCCACAACTACTGAAGCCCATGCGCCTAGAGGCCGTGCTTCACAACAAGAGAAGCCACTGAAATGAGAAGCCCGCGCACCGCAATGAAGAGTAGCCCCTGCTCGCCGCAACTAAAGAAAGCCTGCGCGCAGCAACAAAGACCCAATGCAGACAAAAATAAATAAATTTTTAAAAAATTACTTTAGCTTTATAAGTAATTACAAGTACCAATGTATAAAGACGTACATTATATACCATTACATTAAAAAAAAAAGCAAATGAAGAACCATGGTATAATTTCAATTTTGTGAAAAACTTTTAAAACCATATTACTAACACATATGCATACCTGCACATACACAGAAAAACAAAAAAGAAAGGAGAATACTGCAAGCCATTAGAGTTACCTCGGGTGTACGAGGATTTGGTAACTGGAAAGCACAGAAGGGTACTTTTTTAATAATACGTTTTTGACATTTTTACCTTTTTTTATTATGAGTATTTAACAATATTGTAATTTAAAAATGCAAATCTAGAAAAACTTCTGGTAAGCATGAAGGACACTGATTGAAAGGTGCTGTAGTTTAAAATGAAAATGTTGTGCATTTATCGAATGCTACTATAGAGGATGTCCAAATCACAACCCCATATACCTTTCCAGTTTATAATGCTTTCAAATAGGTTCTTTCATGTGATTCTCACCAGCACAGCACCTGTATACAGTTGCCAAGGTAAGTATTATCACCTCCATTTCACTGATGAGAAAAACAAGCCTCAGGGAAAGTCAGTCATAAAACTGACAAGCAGCAGAGAGCTGGGACTGCCTCCTGTTAAGAGCAAGAGTGGCAATCATACTGGAGCTGGCAATCCAGCAGCGACTTCAGGTCTCGCCCCCCACGATGATGGCCCTCGCAGACCAAATCAATGCACAAGGGGCACAGTCTGCAGCAACGGCACAGCTGTATCTCTGTGGAACATGACCCACGGTCCATACGAAATGCAAACCAGTGGCCTGTGGCTTCATCAGCACCCTGCTCTTAGGAACCAAGCAACGCTGTCTTTAAATAAAACTCTATTCGTTATCAAATATAGAGCAAATGTTCTAAAAAATAAAGTCAACGTACGCTTACCTCTATTGTTCCTGCGGCAAATAAGCCATGCACTGAATTTACATCACAAACATTATTCTCCCTAAAACAGTAAAGCGATAAGGGAGTTTTAGCATCTACTTTTGCAGGGGGCGGGGACGACAGACACTCAATAAACTTTCTAAACTAACAGTAAACCCAATGCTGGGCATAAGGTGGCAGCAGATTCTCTCGCTCATCTGCATATGCGAAGCACCGAGGCATCAAAAGGGCCAGTGCATTGTACACAGTCCCTGCAGTTTCAGACCCCAGGGTGACACTCTATCTGCCAGGGGATGAGACAAGGAAGGGCTTTCTTCAAAAACACTATTCCACCATTTGCGAGAACACATTTCCCAATATATTTTCTCCCAAAGCAAAAAGAACGCAGGCTATCACTACGCCAATCCTGAGACCTGACCAGCTTGTTGAGTACACTGATCTAGGCTCGTTTTCTTTTTCTGAAAAATGGTATTCACCAATCTCATATGGTTGTTGTGAGGATTAAATGAAAACACTACATGTTCAGCACAACGTCTAGAGTTTACAAGACAATAAATAAAAGTTGTTATTATAAACAGGAAATTCTGCAACTAAAGAGCATATAACTTTTTATTATTCAAGGATGCATCATGACATTACTATAATTTCTTTTTAAAGAAAATAAGAGTATTTCAAATCAATGTGGAAAAGAAACCCAGAGTTTACCTGGTTTTTATCACTACCTGTTCTTCCAACCTTTAAAAATCCCCTTCAAAGCAATAAGGAAAATCCAACAAGCTCATTATATACATAGGTGAGAAGTAATCCAGCTTCCACTCTATACTAGCTGTGTGAACTTAAACAAGCTACTAACCCTCTCTAAGTCTCAGCTGCCCTATCTGTAAAATGGAGATAACAATAGTACCTATACTGTAAAAATTTGTTATAAGTTTCAAATGAGTGAATATATATAAAATCCTGAATAATGCTTGGCACATAGTAAGTGCTTTCACTACTGTTGTTACTATTACTCAGTATTAATACTATTATGACAGATTCATTCCTAAAGGATTTCTCTATGAATAAAACAAAAGTACAGACCATAACATATGATGAAAAGAAAACGTGAAAAAATCTTAAATGTCTGCCAGCAAAAGCATAAAAAAATAAAATTAAAAAATAGTACTCCAAGTTATTTCAAAATTTCTCTATAAAAGAAAATATCACAAAACTAAATCATGAATGAAAATTTAAAGAACACAGAAAAAAACAGTAACTGGATTTCTGGAGTGAGTTAAAAACTCTTCACATATATTAAAAAAAATTTTTTTTAATTTTACAACATCCCCAGGTCTTCTAGTGAATTTTTTGTGTGAGAAAAAATTTAATGTTACTCTTTTACCTACGTTGCCCAGAGCTCTGCTTACATGCAACACATGTCATTTGACAACAAACTGGGCATCTGGCTTCATCTCCCGGCCAAAGTAAATACAGCAGGATTCTTATAACAAAACACTCACGCAGCATCAGTCTGTAGAGGACTCAGGAACCGTCCTTGTTCCAAGTTCAATCTATAAACTTCAGAGCTGCCAAAACAATGAATAAAGTGAAAAATCCAGGAAACTACAACGAACGTTTCTTCAAGTAAATGTAACTTTTAGAAACATGGATCTGTCATAAAGCATCACTTCCCTTTGTAAAACTGATAACAAAAATGCATTCTAACCCTAAAAGATAACCACCTTACTTTTAAGTTTGTTCATGCATAAAAGTGATTTAAACGACCCATGTGCCAAGGAAATATTATGAAGTCATTAAGTAGGGTATTATTTACAAATAACACAGGGAATACAAGATCCAAAATGTATCTCTAAGTGTTTGTATATAAGACTACAATGAAATAACAATAAAATACTAATAAGGGTTTCCTCTGAGTGGCATAATTATGGGTGATATTTTTTTCTTCTTTATTCTTTTTTATATTACCCCAATTTTCTAAAATGGATATGACTTATTTTTATAATCATAAAGAAGGTAGCATTTAAGAATAAAAGTTTTAAAATGCATGCAATGGGGCTAAGATACTGACTCCACACCACTGCTACACTATTGGGTCACCCGTGTCTCTCGAGATTTAGAGCACCATGCTAATAGCAGTCAAGGATGTAATTCCTAAATGAGCCAGTCACTTTGGAACTACACTCTTTGAGCAACCATAAGGCAGGGATAATGTCTTATCCTTCTTTTAATCCCTCTCCTCAATTTTAAGAACAGAAGTTGCTTGGGGAGGTGGAAAGGAGAAAACAAAGGGTGATTAGACCCCAATACCTTGCGCCAACAAAGTACAAGTCACAGGATGGATAATGGTAAGAAAAATCTCTCCCGAACTTTGGTATTCTGGTTTTGTAGTAGAAACCTGATTGTGAATGAAATTCAACGTATCTATCATTATGCAGGAAGACAATCTGAAAATGAAACAAGAAAACTAGTTTGCTTAGGTTAAAGTATTTATTTCATCATCATCACTGAAACCGGCAAAGCAAGAAAATCTCTGATCTCTCTCATCCTTGCTCTCTGTAAACGCATGTGTATAAACACAACTCGCTATGATGGTTAAGAAATGTGTTTGAGAATCAAACCTCTCCATTAGTTACTTAATGCCTTCCTGCATCTTAGATAGGTTTTTTGGCAAACTTTACCTTCTAACTGAAAGACTTAATATGAATGCCCTTCATTTATCTGGCGCCAGCACTTTGTAATGTAGAGCACTACTCAGTAACCTCAGTGAGTCATTTCCTATTTTACTTAAGAACACATTTTAGTAATCTCACTATTATCACACGGAGTTTGATAGGCTCCTTGTATAAATTTAACTTTAACGTATTACAAAGGTATCTTAAAAATCTGCAGATAGTATTGAAAAGCAAATTTATCAATATCTAGAGAAAATATACTATAAAATTACAAGTCCCAAAACGTATGACAAATGGCTACCAGAGGCAAAAGGATAAACTGTACCCCATAGTTTCCAGAACTGAAGACAACATAGAAAGCATGTCAGCTCTGAAAATTCAATTTTCCTTCATGATGACATCTCCAAAAGTTTTTCATTTTAAATTGAATAAGGCACTTTTACTGACAATCTTGTAACTGTTGAAAATTACTACAAGAGTTGAAAGATGCACTAATGGCACCAAAAAAGAAAGAAAAGGAGGTGGGAGGGAGGGAGACGCAAGAGGGAAGAGATATGGGAACATATGTATATGTATAACTGATTCACTTTGTTATAAAGCAGAAACTAACACACATTGTAAAGCAATTATACCCCAATAAAGATGTTAAAAAAAAAAAAAGGAAACATAAATATATTAGCTGTGTCTTGAACTGTTTCAGTATATGCACAACCACTTATTTGCAGGGTTAAGAAAATTAAACATACAACACTGCTGCTGTACTTTTCACATATGAATAAGAAAACGAAAATAATAAATGCAATAATGAAAATCACACATCTAGAACATAGGATGGTCTAAAAAGATGACTGCTACCAATTCTTAAAAATATAGATAAGGTTTCATTCATACATGCTATGGCAAACTTATTTCGATAGTAGACTGGCCAAAGGCTATCTCTATCCCAGTTGTCACATACATGTGACAAACTAAGTATATATTAATAGAAAACAATAGGTTTTATTTTACTATACAGCCATTTTAAATTTAACAATGGAAACATCATAAAAACACTTATCATAAGAACAAACCCCACTCATTCGTTTCCTGAGGACAGGCAGGATAAACCGATGCTACAAAGCATACCTTTGAATAGTCATCAGACAAAGTTTCAAAGGTGACAACTGAAAAATAAGAAATAGGAAAAAATACAATTATCAGTCCACTTTTTTTAACAAAAATACAAATTTGATGCAAAGATTCTAACTCAACACAAATACTATATACAAATGCTGGGTTTTTCTTCCCTTTTTACACCTACATAACACAAGAACAAAGTTTCCATGCTATATTGCCCCCCAAAACACCAAATGGAAAATTAAAAGCTTTATAGTTTCTTTATACAGATCAGCTAGATTTTCTACAGAACTGAAGCAAATTAAATAATAAATTTACAAAACATAATGACTTCTAAATTTTGTCAGTTTTTCTGAGATGTTCAAAGTAAAACAACAAACATTAAAAACTCAAAACTTTTTGCTTTAAAAAAGGTAACAGTAACTTTTTACTCATTCACAGTATACCTGCTAAATGAAAATAAAGAATGAAAACAGTTATTATTAGCAGCACATGGAGTTTGTACTGTTTTTTAAAAAGAAGACAGTGAAACAAGTTAAGAGAATACATATCCCATTAACTTCTTTTCCCTCAATCTCAAACATGGGGCCACCTGACAAAAATACCTGAACTCTCCCATTTCAACATGCGCCCTGTGCCAGGCAGAATTCTAAGAATGACCCCGCTGACCTTCCCCCCAGGGCAGTCCCCTCCTCTGGAGAGTGTGGGTGGATGCTATCAATGTGAGGAGACACCGCTCTTGTGATTACATCACGTTCTATGGCAAAGGAAAGATTTATAATCACACGAGCCCTTTCAAAGCAGAGTTTTCTCCAGCTGGCGGCAGGAGGGGTAGTCAGAGAGATTCAGAGCACGAGAAGGATCCAATGAGGTGCTGCTGGCTTGAAGGAGGAGGGGACCAGGTGAGGAAGAATGCAGGGGTCTCTAGAAGCTGAGCATGCCCCCAGGCTGGCAGCCAGCAGCAGAGGGGTCCCCAGCCCTAAAACCAAAACAAACTGCATTTTGCCAACATCCTGTAAGTTTGAAAAGGGGTCTTGCCCAGGGCCTCTGGAAGAGTCCCACCTGGCTGACACCTTGAGGTCAGCCCTGAGCACAGAACACAGAAAAGCCTGGACGGACTTTACCTACAGAGCTATGAGCTAATAAATGAATATTTTTTAAGCTGCCACGTTTATTGCAATTTGTTACACAGCACAGAAAACTGATACACAACCCATGCCCATTTTAAAAAGCAGAAAAGCAGCCAAATATAAAAACTATTTTTGTGATTTCAAATATAACCTCTTACCTTCTGAATCTAAACACCTTTCAAACTTCAAGGATAATTGATAGGTGTCATAACATCGAACTCGAGGTTTATATGTCCCTATAAAAAAATTTAATGTGATGTAAAACCTAAAGGACATATTATCAATATCCTGCAGATATGTTGAGTATACTTTTTGTTTAGAGGTAAGTAAGATTCATTATAAGCATATCAAACAAAAAGAATTTAAAAGCAGCCTCTCCTAAAATGGATGGCTTAGTGGGAAGCTGTTGCATAGCACAGGGACATCAGCTTGATGCTTTGTGACAATCTAGAGGCATGGGATAGAGAGGGTGGGAGGGAGGCTCAAGAGGGAGGGGATGTGGGGATATATGAATACATATAGCTGATTCACTTTGTTGTACAGCAGAAACTAACACAACACTGTAAAGCAATTATATGCCAATAAAGATATTAAAAAAAAAAAGAAAACCAGCCCTCTCCAACATCCCAAGGGAAAAATGAACAAAGGATATAAACAAGCAAGACACGGAAAATGTATACACCTGTGTATGAAATACAAATAACTAATCAACTTCACAAATAATCTACCAAAGTAGATTTTTTTAAAAATTAGTTTTTGTCAATATTTATAAAATAGATAAATAATAAGAACCTGCTGTATAAAAAAATAAAATAAAATTCAAAAAAAATAGTTTTTGTCTATCAAATGGCAAAGATGAAAAACTGGTTAGTATCTGCATTGAGGTTGATGTTCAAAAAAAGTTCTCTCACACTTTGGTGATAAGTATAAATTATGACAAATTCTTTGGAGGACAATCTGGCATTATCTGTAAAACATGTGATACTCATACACCTTATATCTGTATTTCAACTTATACAAATTTATTCTACAGAAACACACCTAAGTGTACCAAAGACATGAAGAATGTCCACCGCAGCATTACTTACTGATGGCCAAAAATTGAAAGCAAATTAAATGTCCACTGATAGGGAAACGGTTAAATAAATGATGGTAAATCATTATAGAGGTTATAAAGAGGATGACGCAGACCTGTAACTCCTGACATGGAAAGCTGCCAAAACATATTACAAAGTGAAAGGGAGAGTGAGTACAGCGGGTGCAGTGAGGGCTGCAGGGTGGCGCTTATACTGTGATCTGGCTTTTGTAAAACTCAACAGTGACAGTGTCAGTACTCTGTACAGAAAGAAGATGGAGGAACAAGCACAGTGATATCTTGTGTATTTTAGTGCAATCTTAGGGCCTTTCACGTTTTATCGTATGTACTTCTATAATGTTTGCATTTTTTGTAAGTTTATCATGAAAAGAAAAAGACTGACTTTTAAAACCACTAAGGATACTTTTGAAAGAAAGGAATGAAGTAGTCCCGTGTCTCCTGGCACGTGGGTCAAAGCCCAAGATCTCGTGTAAAAGGAATATACAGTATAGTACATACACACACGCACTCTATATACGATATATGTGCTATATATAGTCTACAATTATAATTTAGATTCTGAACATGAAACTGGATGCTAAAAAATGTGGACAGTGTTAGTAATGAGACAACCATTGACACAGAACAAAAGAGACTAGCATGTGGATGTATAAAAGTTGTCAAATAAGAAAGTGGTGGGAAAAGAGATACAGATGGATAATGTTAAGCCAAGAAAAAAATTTAAGTGGACAATACGCAGGATATATGTAGCAAAATCACAACCAAAAAAAAGGTTGGGTAATGCTGTTCTAACTTATAATATATTAAAAGTTCCCTGTATTTGTTGACTTTTTGATACTGATGAATACTGATAACATAAAATCTTAGTGACATAAAAAATACTAGTATATGATGGAGAAAATCATTATGATAAAAATGACCTTTCCTGGAACTATCATTCATTGTTGGTGGGAGTACAAAATGATCTGACTACTCTGGAAAACCATCTGGCAGTTTCTTATCAAACTAAATATATACCTACCCTATGACCCAGCAATGTCCTCAAAACAGACTTGTACAAGACGGTTCATAATGCTTTACCAATAACAGTCGAAGAATGAAAATAGCCCAGGTGTCCACCAAATGAAGAATAAATTAACAAAGTGTGGCATATTCCTATAAGGAAATACCATTTGCTAATAAAGAAAGAACACATTACTGACACATATAATGACATGAATGAATCTGAAATATGAAGTCCTAGATGAAATAAGTCTTACACAAAAAAATACATAGTGTATGACTGCATTTACATGAAGTCCATTTAAAACAGGCTACACTTGTCTGTGGTGAAAAAATAAATCACAGCAGTGGCTGGCTACACATGAGTGGGAGCAGGGACTGACTGTGGGGGGCATAACGGAATGCTGTGGATGAAAGAATGTTTTGTATCTTGGTAGGGGTTTGGGCTACACAGACGTATGCATTTGTCCAAACTCACCAATGTACTTATACAAATTTATCTTTTAAAAAAAAAGCCATAAACGAATACCGAACTCCAGTTAATGATGCACACACTGAGGTATGTAGGGGTGAAGTATACTAATACCTGCAACTTACTCTGAAATGTATCAAAAAACAGGATGGATTGATGGATGGCAGAAAGATGGGTAGACAGATATGTGATAAAGCAAATACAGTAAACTATTGAAGAATCTAGGTGACAGGCTGTTCACTATACAGTTTTTTCAGTATTTCTATATGTTTGCAATTTTGTAATATAAAATGTCAGGGTACTTTTTAAAAAGTGACCTTTCCCACCATAACACTTCCTGCTACGAAGTATATGTAAATCACAACCAAAAAGACGCTTACCGGTGGCTAAAATATACTGTCCATCCTTTGATACCTTAATAGTGGTACAAACAGTAGGCATTTCAAAATCCTGAATAAGTTCAATTCTCCTACGAACATCTACAAAGAAAGAAGATAAATAACTGGTTTAACCGCCATGTGCGTACTCTTGTGTCCAGGAAGACAGTATTCAGAGCAGGGTCACTACCAACGGCAACGTCCCAGTGCCTCCCAGCCTCGGGAAGGCACACGGACACAGCCCCGCCCATGACACAGCAAGCTTTTCTCTTAGCTCATACCTTATTTTTCTAAACTAAGTATTTTATTTTTATTTTTCAAAAAGGAAAAAGTGTCATCGTTAATTGGGGAAAAAAAAAGTCCATAACAGTGCATCAAACATCCAGTTTCAAGCCCGGGATAAAGGGGCAACAGAATAAACATTAAACCACTATTGTTATTCAATCATGGATCATGGCTAAGACAAAAATCTTTACCATTTTTTCTCCTAAATAATAACAAGTCTAAACCTTTAAAATCTTAACTTTATACAAGAAGCTGCTACCAAGCTGACTTTTGCCTCTGTGGCAGCACTGATCTGTGGCCGAGAAGATCCAGGCTAGAGGAAGCCGTAGAGCAAATCTCTGGGTCAAAGCACTTCAACGTACTCCCACAAAAACTGGTTCCCTGCAACAAGAAAGTGTGGAGTCTTGCTGGCTGCTATTGTAACAATGTGCCCACTGTAAGGACTGTGTATGACTCTCTGGCACATTATTGCCTTGTTCACTAAACCAACCGAGCAG